CAGAAGAAAAAAAAAGTAAATCTCCAGGAACTGTATCTTTTTCCCATACCTATTCAATCTGCTCTGAACTCATTCAGCATTTCTTAAGCTCAAGGAACTGAAGAACAAATTCAAACCTCAAGTGGCTATACTTAAGGATGCTTTGGGCAGAATATTAAATGATCCAGGAAGTATTAAAAGAAGATGGAAAGAGTATAGAGAATCACGCTACCTAAAGGAATTGGCAGACACAGAAGAATTTAATGAAACAACATATGAGCAAGAGCCTACGGTGATGAAGCAAGAAGTTCAAGCTGCTTTGAAGGAATTGGCAAAAAATAAGGCCCAAGGAATTAACGATATACCAATTGACATATTTCAACTAATAGATGCTGCCCTAGATGTGCTCACCAAGCTGTGCCAAGAAATTTAGAAGACAACCACTTGGCCAACTGACTGGAAGAGAAACTATATTTGTTCCCATTCCAAAGAAAGGTGACCCAACAGAGTGTGGGAATTATCAGACAATATCATTGTTATCACAAGCAAGCAATATTCTGCTGAAGATTATAAAAAAAATGACTAAAACAGCGCATCAACAGAGAACTGCCACAAGTCCAGACTAGTTTTAGAAGGGGTCATGTTACTAGGGATTTGGTAGCTAATGTTAGATGGATCTTGGCTGAAAGCAGAAGAGTACCAGAGGAATGTCTATCTGTGTTTCATTGATTTATGCAAAGGCTTTTCACTGTGTGGATCACAACAAACTGGCTGACGCTGAGAAGAATGGGAATCCCAGAACATTTGATTGTGCTAATGGAAAACTTATACTTGGACCAGGAGGCAGTTGTCAGAACAAAGCAAGGAAACAGTGCATGGGTCAAAATTGGAAAGGGTGTACATCAGGGATGTGTCCTATATCCATACCTTTTCAACCTATATGCAGAACAGATTATCCAGGAGGCTGGGCTCTATGAGGAAAAGTGTGGCATCAGGATTGGTGAAAGATTCATCAACAATCTGCATTATGCTGATGACACAACCGTGCTTGCTGAAACTGAAGACCTGAAGCCCTTGCTGCAGAGGGTCAAGGATTGCAATCTTCAATATGCATTTAGGCTCAATATAAAAAAAAAACCCAAAGATTCTCACCACTGGGCCAATTAACAGCATCAGGTTAGATGGTGATGAGATTGAGATTGTTAACAGCTTTCGTTTGCTTGGGTCCACAGACAACACTCATGGCACCAGCAGCCAGGAACGTAAAAGATGTTTTGCGATGGAAAAGTCTGCTATTAGGGACCTCTCCAGAGTATTGAAGAACAATGGTGTCACTCTGGAGACTAAGGTGTCCTTGATACAGGCCATGGTCTTGACAATCACTTACTATGCATCAGAGAGCTGAAAAATGACTAGGGTGGATAGAAGAGAATTGATGCTTTGAGTTGTGGTGCTGGAAAAGAGTATTGAATATACCATGGACTGCTAAGAAAATGAACAGGTTTATGCTGGGTGGGGTTAAATCGGGCAGCTCCTTGGAGGCAAAGATTCTGAAGCTTCGTCTGACATACTTTGGACATGTTCCAAGGAGGGACCAGTCCTTGAAGAAGGATATCATGCTTGGGAGGGTGGAGGGACAGCGCAGGAGAGGAAGATCCTCTATAAGGTGGATTGATTAAGTAACAAGAGGAGTGGGGTGGGTGTGTCGGAAACAGTGAGACCCACAGGACAGAGCAAGGTTTAGGATTGTTGTACACAGGGTCGCAGGCGACTCGACAGCACATAACCAGCATTCAATCTGTGCATTGAGTAAATATTTGGGAAAGTTGGATTACAGAAAGAAGAATGTAGCATCAAGTTTGGAAGAAAACTCATCAAAATCTGCACTATGCAGCTGGCACAGCCTTGCTTCCTGAAAGTGAAGAAGACTTTAAACACTTTCTTATCAAAGACTACATCTCAACATCCTCACAACTGGACCAATAGGCAATAGATTTTCCTTGGGAAAAGACAATATGCTGTAGAGTGAGTAGAGTGTCAGTGAGAGAGACTCCAGGAGATAGATACCACAATAGACATGGCAGGAGATAAGAGGTTGGGACAAAATAGTCAAGGTTTTGATGTGTTGTTCCCAGGTCGTTATGAGTCTTAAGTCTACTTGTTGTTTTGTGCCGTCGGGTAAGAACCGACCCATAGCTGGCCCTCAGGTGGGTTTTCAGAGGCAGTTAATCGCACGAGAGGAGATTGCTCATCCTTCTCTCAAGGAGCAGCCTTTGAGATTGCAGCGTAGCTTCTTGTCACTAGGTCACCAGAGCACCTCTTGACTGGCACCTAAAGGGGGGAGCTTGTAGAACGGGGTCGTGTTCCCGCTAATCGGGCAGGGCCTAAGCAATAATCAGGGAGTGTCCGAAGCCCGGGGGTAGGGTCTTTTGGCGCCGGTCCGCTGGACAGGACTGAACCTGTGCTATTTGCAGGGCGTGAGCACATTCTACGGGCGGGCGGGGCACTTGTGGACTGTGGGGCGTGGCCTCTGCCGGGACTGGCCTATGATGTTTGCGGGGTGGGGCCTGAGAGGCTTGAAGGGCAGGGCTGAGGCTGGACACTGGCCTGAAACCCTGGAGGCCGTGACCGCACCCTAGGTGTGGGGCCTGTATCGTTTTGTGGGGCCGAGCCACACCCAAAGACTGGCATGTGCTGTCTGTGGGGAGGGGCCGGGGTGGCTTACGGGGCGGGCTGAGGCCGGGCACTGGGCCTGCGCAGCTGGGGGGCGTGACCGCGACCTCGGGGCGGGGCCTATGCGCTTGTGAGGCTGAGCCACGCCCAGGGACAGGTCTGAGCTGTTTGCCGGCTCACCGTGAGGGCGGGGCCAGTACGGCTTGCGGGACCAGTCCGCGGCGCAGCAATGGGCCTGCGCTGTCTGAGGGTTGGGTCCGCGGCCGGGCACTGAGCCTGCGCAGTCTGCTGAGCGTGTCTGAGGCCGAGCACTGGGCCTGCGTGGTGTGCACAGATGCGGGGCGTGTCCGTGGGCGGGGGACAGGCGGTGCGCGGGTGGTGAGAGACGGCCCCTGGCGCGCTGGCTGCTTGGCGGAGGGCGTGGCCGATCACGTAGGATTGGCACTGCTGCTTTGAAGTGCGTACGGCTGGCGGCCCTGCGCGAAGTGGGCGGTGCGGAGGTGCGGCCTGGCCTTTAGCCGCAGGCTTCGCAGGACCGGGCTGGACCCGCTGGGCGCGATAGGGTGAGTATACAGGGCTGGCATTGGGCACGTGGGCAGGGGTCCGGGCGGCTTGGCCGCAGGTGGGAGGGCAGCAGTAGGTGATGTCACGTTGGCTTGCGGGCCGTGCAGGCGCTTGAGGCCAGTGTCCCGGTCTCACCGTCCACGCCGCCTGGGACTGGAGAGGCTGCGCCCCCGACCCGGCCCGCTCTGGCCGCCAGTGTCCGCACAGAGCGAGCCACAGCCGGGGTCGCGAGGCCGGAGCAGTGGACCCTCATGCGCAGTGTTGACCCCTCGGCCAATGCCTGATGTGCACCGGCCCGCGGCTGCCGAGGGGTGGGAGCAGCATTTGAAAAAACTTAAGTGCAAAATATTTTGAAAAGATTCTTTTTTTGTTGTTTTTGTCTAATTAGCCGGGGCAGATACTAGTTTCAGAAACCATCCGACTCGAGGTGAGTCGGTGAGGTCCTAACGGTCTTTGGGGAATGTTTGATACGCACCGCATCACCCTAGGGCTTCCTCTTTAAGTGAGTCATACAGGGTAAAAAAGCCCTTTATTCTTCTCCACGGGCTAATTGCTTTAGCTGTAGTATACTTAGCATAAAGTTGTACAATAATCATAAAATCATAAACCCACTTACGTCATGACTCTTTTAAATATGTGTTCAACTCCAAGTAGTTACTAGCGTTTTTAATAGCCACTTTGGCTGTTTAATTTCTATCAGAATTTGTTTGGGTCTGGTGTTTGGTGTTTGTTTTTTTTTTCTTCTTTTAAACTAACATGTTTTTATAGTAATGGTGAAGAAGAATAGAATGAAAATATTATCTTTGTATTTTCGTAAATTATCTGGAGTTAATATGCAATGGATAACTTATTACCTGCTTTGTTCCTGATTTATTTAGGCACCGTCTTTATGGAATACAGCTTTTTTTTTATTTGATTCTTATTGATTTTATCGAAACAAAATTAGATAGCCATACAAAAATCACTAAATTAATTTGCATACAAAATTTCTAATTGTACAGATTAAAACATTGTTAAGTGTTATATAGGTAAAGAATAGTTTAGAGTTGATTTATGGACCTAAACCTAAAGTTGGCAGTGTACTTTAGAAGCTAGTCACAAGTTATCCAAAAGTAAAATATTCTAATGAATGCAAGCTGAAATGGTGTAAGAAGCAATTACTGTTAATTAAAATTACTATTAATTTGTATGAAAAAAATTATGCATTCCAAAACCTAGAAAATAGCTTAGAAAATATATTGCTAATGGATTAATAAACTGTAACAAGATAAAGCACAAAAGCTTCATGGACAGTGGACAGTTCAAAGCTGTGGCTTCATGCGGAGATGCTTCCTAGAGATGGGGCTCAGCTGAAATATTTCTCTGACCACTAGCCCCCAGTCCCACAGAAAAATAAACCTTAAAGGCTCTTTTCACTTTTCTTCCTAAAAAAAGTTACCTGTGTTTGCCTTGAATCTATTCTCTGGTTACTCAGGGTTTAGGGAAGGCTGTAACTTCCAAAGTGTTCATTTCAGAACATCTTAAAAGAAGCTAATGAGACATTATTATTTAAAAACACAGTTTGGTTTTGAATGTGTACTCTTTCATTGAGGTGGTCTTTAAATGAAAGCTTCGAAGTCTTTTGATGCAAAGAGTCTTAGTTTATTGCTGTTGTTTGTTTTTATCCTAGCATAAACCTTTGAATTAAAAGCTGTTTTGCAAAAATAAAAACAACAGAAAGTAAACTTGTTTTCTTTTTATTTGTGTAGCTTTGTGGAAGTGCGTGTTGTCTTCTTTGAAGAAACATGAAGTCACGCTGGATTGTGTTCGCTTTGCCTATTCTGGTGTTCCTGATGTGGATCCCAATGTCACTGAGCTGTAACAAAGCACTCTGTGCTAGTGATGTGAGCAAATGCCTTATTCAGGTAGGATTATGTGGGTGGCTTCTACAAGGAAAGAAGTTATCAAATCACGAAAAGCAGGAAAATGGGAAGCTTTGTAGCCAAACTACACCTAAATGTAATCACCAAGAAAAATCACTCCAGCACACTCCATTAATTTGGGTTCTTCCTCTTGTAAAGTAAAAATAGCAAAACAGGAGTCCAGGCTTTTCTATGAAAGCAGAGAAAGAGATATTTATTAGAGAAATTATTTTGCAAAGGGATACATGGAGAACCAAGGCACCACTAGCTGATTAAAGAGGAGACAATGTGATCCTCTTAAAGACACTGGAGGCAGGGAAAGGATGTCATTTATTCATGTAGAGTATTGAGTTAATGCATCCAAAGGAAAGTGTCATCCTGTTTATTCTAAAGAGAAGAGGGTCAAGTGGATTGGCCCACATGGCAGGGATTATGATGACTAAGCCTTTAACAAGTGACCACTTGTTCCTACAAGATGGCTCCACCGGAAGTATGTCCTAGGTCTTGTGAGGAGCATGCACGGATGATCTAGAGTATGACTGATTCAGCCAGTTTCTAAAACATGGGCCTGTGGCTTTAAAGATGGCCGTCTGCAGCTAAGGCTCGTGATCATCACAGAGCAGGCCTGTTTAAGAAGGCTATTCTCTGATAGGTCATCCAGTAGTCAGTCACATGGCACCGGAAATCTCTTAGCAGAGTTAAAGGTGGTTAAGAGCAAGCATGTAGGAGACTCTAGGTTCTTTTAGCGAGTTCTTGGGGCTTGCAATAGCTGCATTAACTGAATGCAGGCTTTCCTGGTCTGAACTGTCTCAAGGGCAAGTTAAAGTTTAAAACAGTTGAAATTTTCCTTCTCATTCTTTGGAAAAGTGCTTGAGACAAGGTCAGAAGGTCCCATTATGTTAATAGAAGGAAGTGACTCCTCTAGGTTGCAGGGTGGAGGCTGACTGCAACAGAATATTTAAACTTAATGAGGCCTCCTTCTCCAGTACTCATCCCCAGACCATAAGGATATTTCTTTTTATAATATTATTAAGAAATGCTAGAGTGGTGGTTTTTACTTTTCAGTTGCTTTCTTGCCTCTTGCAGTCCAAGTCTTTGGTTAGGGCCAAATGTACTGAAGACACTGGTTTGGATTTTTAACCCTCAGTTTTCTTACATACAAGCAAGATCAGAGTAAAGATACTCAGTATCTTGCTTTTAATACCTGCCATTACAACGCAATAAAGACTCCAATTTGATAATTGTCAACTCCAAGCTGACATAGCAAAGCAGTTCAGTTATTAAATTGTTGTTATATAGGTACAGTATACTAGTATACTAGGACAAAATATTAGCTAATTGTACAATTCATCAGAGCTTACAGACTTAAGAAGTAAGACTGGCCATCCACTTCTGAAATAAGAGACCCTTGAAATACCTGTGCATAGCACTGAAACACTGTTGGATATAGTGCCACAAGATGAAACCTTGAGGTCGGAATGTACTCAAAATGGAACTAGGGAAAAGCTACTTCCTCAAGGTAGTAGTTGTTGTTAGGTCGACTTGTTATTATGTATACATGCATCTAGTGGAGTAGGACCCATAGCAGCCCTGTAAACAATCTGCAACAGAGCTAGCTCTGTCATATTTGCATCATTATTGTCATCCTTGGCACATTTGAGTCCATTGCCACAGACACTTATTTCAGTCTATCTTGTTGCGATACGATTGACTACAATTCATGGAATCCCTATGAACAGTAGATCAGAGCCTTGCCTTGTCCTGTACCGACATCATGATACCCACCATGCTCAGGCCCATTATGACAGTGTGTCAGTCCCTCTCACTGAGGGTCAGAAATAAAGTCTATCTTAATGATATGGCTGATGTGGCAAGACTCAGAGTAAACAACTGCAAACATCCATTAATATTTGGAATGTAGAGTGTATGAAATGTGAATCTGGGGAAATTAGAAGTTGTGAAAAATGAAATGGAACACAAAGATCAGTAGCAAGACAGTGAGCTTAGATGACTCATATTGGCCATTTTTAATCAGACAATTACTAAGACTTGCTGTGCTGAGAATAAAATACTGAAGAGTGGTGGGTCATTCATCAAAAAGAACATTTTAAGATCTGTTCTCAAGTACAGTGCTATCAATGGTAGTATCCATGTGACTACAAGGAAAACTGTTAATACTTGTTAATTATTACTCAGATACATGCACCAACTACTAAAACCAGAGATGAAGAAATTTAGGATTTATATTGATTTTTGTAATCTGGAAGTGGACATGCACTCAGAATACGTTGATAATAATTGGTAACTGGAAATCAAAAGTTGGAAATGAAGAAGGACTCGTAGATAAGGCCTTGGTGAGAGCAATGAGATAAGAAACACATAATAGAATTTTGTACATTGTTGGATTCTACAAGATGAGACCTGGGTGTGAACTGTTTGTTTTTGTTTCATCCACAGTTGGATGTGAGCTGATTGGATTTGGCCTTGTTGGTTTTAATTGTGTCTGGGATGAACATTTTTCTAGATGGTATAGCAGTGGTCTGTTGGTTTGCTGTCCAGAGGTAACTTGAGGTTTCTGTGATGCTGAACACTGTGACACTGATGTGTCAGATGCCTTAATGGTTACCCATGGTGGACAGTGTTTGGTGGAGCTCCCAGATTGAGACAGGCTTGGAAGCAGGAGTGACATCCACTTCCTAAACTGTGTGCCTCTGGAAAATCTTATGAACTTACAGAAACGAAAATAGTTACACAACAGGGTTTAGGTATTTGTTCATAGGGTTGCTGAGTCATCCTCAACTTGATGGCATTTAACAACAACAATTATGTGCGATCAAGTCGCTTGTGACTTATTGCACAATAGCTTAGAACCCTGTCCTATCCTAAGCCAATTTCACTGTCTCTAACAGACTACTCCCATTACTCCAGTCACTATGTCAGTCCATCTCATCTGTGGTCTTCCTCTCCTGTGTTATCCCTCTACCCTTCCAAACATGATATCTTTCTCTAAGGACTAGTCCTTTTTGGCCATATGCCCAAAGTTTGAGCTTAGAAATTCTTGCCTCCATTATGCTGAGTGAAATATCTCAGTCACAAAGGGACAAATACTGCATGGTGCCACTGTTGTAGAATGGGTCTGACATCAGGGTAGGGGTATGACAGAAAAAACTGGATAAATTATGTATATTGTATTGAAACAGATGAGGGAAAGAACAGATTAGAAGTGATATATGATTGAGTATTATGGTTAGCACAGGAATCCAGAATTAAGGTTGCATAGAGAAGTGTACTGTGGTGGGGGGGTGGGGGGAAGGGATGTGGGAATTGTATACTAATGAAGGAATTTTTTTTTCTCTCTCTTCGGAGAGGGAAGCGAGCTGGTGGGGAGGGGTGGACAGGGAGAAAGTTGCGGCAGTGAATGAATGGAAATCCAAAAACCTCTGTAAAAAAAAAATTCTTGCCTCCAAGAAGAAACTTAGTTTCACCCACTCTAGGACAGGCCTGTTTGTTTTCTTGGCAGTTTATGGTATACTATGTACTCTTCTCCAGCACCACAACTCAAAGGCATCGATTCTTCTGTCATCTTTGTTCATTGTCCAGCTCTCTGATGCATAGCAAGTAATTGTTGAGACTATGGGTTGGATGCACCTTAGTCTCTAGACAGACATTGTTGTTCTTCAGTACTCTGGAGAGGTCCCTGACAGCAGGCTTTCCTAATGCAATTCATCTTTTGATTTCCTAACTGCTGGTGTCAAGAGTGTTGATTGTGGAAGCAAGTTGAAATTGTTACTAATCTCAATCTCTTCTCCATCTGTTTTGATTACTGCCATTTGACCCAGTGGTGAGAGTCTTTGTTTTCTTGATGTTGAGCCTCAGTCCATGATATGGATTGCAGTCTTTGACTACCTGCAGCAGATGTTTTTTTAAAAACCTAAGCAGTGGTTGTATACATGGACCTCAACTGGTGAAATACACAGGAGTCATGCTGATATGAAATATACGGGAGTCATGCTGATACACCTGTAAAAAGAGTCAGTGAGGAAGCTCATCTCAGTACTCAGAATAAGGCCAACTACCAGCTATGGAACAGATCATCAGTTACTAGTGTGCAAGTTCAAATTGAAGCTGAAGAAAATTAAAACAAGAACCAAAACACAACTGTGAGTTTATCCCCTCTAAATATCAAGAATAGATTTGATGCATTGAACACTGTTTACCAAAGACCAGGCAAGTTGTGTAATGACATCAAAGACATAGATGAAGAAACCAAAATGTGATTAAAAAGGTGGGGTATACTGTCCAGTTGGACTAGAACCAACTCATAGCTGACCCTCCAGCAGATTTTCAGATTCTGTGAATCAGACAAGAGAGAATTGCCCATCTCTCTCCTGTGAAACAGCTGGTGGATTTAACTGCAAGCCTTTGGGTTGACAGCCCAGCATATTACCACTTGGCAACTTGAATTCCAGTTCTTCAGCATAGAGAAGCCAAAATGAAGGGAAGAAATGATGAAGTAAGACTTGAACAGAGATTTCAAAGGGCAGCTTGAGAGAAAAGTATCATTTAATATTAATAAAGACATACTCAAAGATTTGGAGTTAAAAACCAAAAGAAAACACCACCCTGGGTATTTCTCAAGTAGAGAAGACTGAAAAACAGATTCAAGACTCGAGTTGCTGTACTGAAGGTTCCTATTGGCAGAATCTTGACTGTTTCAGGAAGTGTCAAAAGAAGATGAAAGGAATACACAGAGGCACTGTACCAAAAAGAATTGGTTGACACTGAACTATTTTGGCAAGTAACACTTGGTTAAGAACGATTGCTACTAAAGGAAGATGTCCAAGTTGCACTGAAGACATTGAACATAAGGCCCTGGGAATGTTGGCCTACAATTTGATGTATTTCAGCAAACAGATGCAGCCCTGAGTATGCTTAGTAGCCTATGCTAAGAAATTTGGAAGATGTAGCCAGCTGACTGGAAAAGATCTGTATTTGTTTCCATT